TTAAGTATTCTTCCATTTTGTTGTTCTTGGTCATGGATTTGTTACTGCAGGTGCAAGACTCTGTTTTTAAAGGTGATTAGACCTGTAAATTTTTTTTGGTTGTTCTTAGTCCTCTAAATTCTTTTTCAAGTGAACAGAATTGTGCAAAATGCAGCTGCTTGAATGTTAGTTTGGGGTTTGGAAGGGATGAGTTTGCATCAAGTAGCAGTAGTGAATGTTTGTTTTGGCAGCATGAGGGCGAAGTAGTGGCTGCAGCAGAGGCGTTCAATCATTGTGCTGGTTCTGTTTGTTCTTTCTTTCGTGGTTGAATGATTGATCTTTGTTTATCCAATCCGCCAAATTGTGAGACAAAGAAGTTACAAGGTTAGTCATCATCAAAGTTAAAAACAAGTTTGATACTTTTCAGAGTCTTTTTTTTATTGGATTGTATTAAACAGTAGCAGTAGCAACAAATATGTCAGCAATTTTTTATGTATGTCTATGGATTTTGATTCAATTTTTCTTTTTCTGGGCCTGCTCCGTGGTTTTTAAATGGTTTGTTGATTCAATTTGTAGAACAACTGTAATAGGAGCAATGCTTTAGAGGCTATGAAGTGTACATGTAGTTCTTGCCTTGCGAACAAGGCATTTGGGTAAGTCTTTCTAAGTCCCACTTTAATTTACCAGCTTCTTAAACATGTTCTTTTGGATTTGGGTTCAACTGACTTGTCATTGACGGTTGAAATTTTAATTGTTATTCATGGCAGATCAACCGTACAGGATGTCTCAGATGGAGTCCACGATGTATTTTTTTTGTTAGAAGGATGAAATTTTGAATGTTGACTCTAGATAGAAAATCGTGATGCTGACTTTAGTACCAGTGAAGAAATAATTAGTTATCGTATTGAGTAGAACTAGTTATTACTATGATATAAAATGTCATATTATAGAATTATTATATACAAGATTTGAGACTTTCGATTGTTGATAATAATAATATTTAGTTGTTACTTCGTGACATGAGACTTTGAGACTTGGCTTTTGTAATTAGTAATGGCAAATATTCATAATTATAATTGTTATAGATATTCTAATTAGTCATAGCAAAATACCGTGACTAGTGATTGTAATTAGCTTTAGTCAAATACCGTGACTAGTGGTTAGTATGTAGTCACAGGGGAACCAGTCACTACAAATAAGAAATACCGTGACTAGTGATTAATAGCTAGTCACGGGAAATGATTAGTCACGGTACACAATTAGTCACGGATCTATATATTACGGTAATTTTCCCGTGACTAAAGATTTTAATCACGGGAAACATGCTTTTAAACACGATATATCCCGTGATTAAATGACTTTTTTCTTGTAGTGCATTCTGCACATAAACAAGTCGGAAAACACACTTTTCTAAGCTCACTTCACTAAGACGACAAACATAAATCATCTATTATTGTTTAATGTCCACTACACATCAATCCACATATGGCCAAAACCGATTTCTTGGAAGTATTCAAATGATAATTACAAGAGATAGAGATTGCTTACCTTAGCTGAATAACAAACAAGATTTTGTCGAAGTGGTCACATGCTATTGTAGTCACGAGAAACTTCACTTTCTTCGCCTTTTACAAAAGACAACGATGGGTAGGGAAGGGTTGGTATAGAAAGAAAGGGACTGAGAGCGATGGGTGGGGAAGGCTTGGTATAGAAAGAAATCGACAGAAATCAATGGGTGGGGAATGGGAGATAATGCAATAATTTTCGTTGTCGACGAGAGAATAGAGAAGAGAGGCGCGCGAGAAGAGCGGGTGTGGGTTCTTGGTAAGGATTCGATCTTCTAAGAAACAATAGCGACGACGTCTTTAAACGAGCGAACGCCGCTGCATTTGAATCGGAGAGAATGACAGTCGTCGGGGAAGAAGCGAGAATAAGAATGTTTAGTTTTTTTTCTTTTTTTGCTCAAAACAGAAAGAGGCGAGGGGATACGGTGGGGATGGGTGGCCAAAAATAATTTTATTTTTTTATTATTTTTTAATTAGATAAAGAAAATAATAAAATAATTTGAAATTTGATTTTTTTTTGTTTGGTGTTGACATGGCAGTGACCTGGACCATTGACTAACGATCAACGGTGTTGACCATCCAAACAGACGGTCAAACCAGTCTCCGGCCAATTGAGTCTTATGCCACATAGTTCGGGCCGGGATGCTAATTTCTCAATCCACAGGCCAAGTTTGATTATATGATCATAGTTCATGCAAGAATAAGGTATTAACCCTAACAAATAGAAAACATACGAACTATACAAACAATACAATATAAACTAACAAACAATACAAATCAAGAAAAATTGATAAACAACCAGGTTGACTTTTGAGGCTCCATCCCTATATAGAGGGGCACCGCCCCAAAGTCAACCCGGTTGTTTTTTAGACATACAATCATAACAAAATGGTGGACAAAATTGCAAACTAGACTGACAAATACAAAATGGAAAAATAGCCAGGTTGACTTTGGAGGCTTCATCTCTATATAGAGGACTTCCTTCCGAAAGTCAACCAAGTTATTTATTAGATATAAAAACATTATAAACATGGTGGACAAAAATGACAAGCATGATGGACAAAAATAACAAGGTTTAGAAACATTACAATAGATATCGACAAACAGTACAAAACATGCTAACCGTACAGACTACCACTACAAACAATACAAATCGGTAAACTTATATCATAAAACAATGAATACAAAGCATACCAATCATAACATAAAAGTATACAAACTAGACAAATAAACATTACAAATTATAATATACAAAAAATAGACATATAAACATTACAAACTAGAATGATAAATGATACAAACAGAATCGATACAAACATTACAAAAGAGACTTACAAACATTACAAAATAGTCTGACAAACATAAAAAAGTTGGCATTGCCATCGAAAAAATTCCCATCATCGAAAAATCTCCACTGCCAGCACTGGAAAAGTCTCTCTCTCTCTCTCTCTCTCTCTCTCTCTCTCTCTCTCTCTCTCTCTCTCTCTCTCTCTCTCTCTCTCTCTCTCTCTCTCTCTCTCTCTCTCTCTCTCTCTCTCTCTCTCTCTCTCTCTCTCTCTCTCTCTCTCTCTCTCTCTCTCTCTCTCTCTCTCTCTCTCTCTCCATTTCACCTGGTTAAATTACTCTCCATGGAAGCACCCAAAATCCCCTCTTTCTCAAGAGCAAAAGAAAATGGGGGGACAACAAAGAAATTCCATTGGTAGGAAATCTGGCCGACGGGAAGGGGACCATGCCGAAAGGGAAAGTTCCTTATTAGGGAACCGCAAAAAGTAGAAGGTAACAGCTTATTTGCTTTTATTTATTGTTTTAATTAATAAATTACATAATCATGTAATTACTAGATTGCCCTTCATTAAATTAGATTAATCAGAGCCCTTCTAATTTAATGAGGTGGAAGGGTGGAGATTCACTTAGTCATTTGACTAAGCGACCCCCTTTAGTCACCTGATCTTAGCCCGGTTTATATGGCGAACGGAAGTGGGGGCGCTGACAAGGGGCCGAGCGAGACAAGTTTAGGAAGGAAAAAAGGAGAAGCGAGTTAGTGAGCGACACGTGTGAACAACTTAAGTGATTTATATTGCAAAAGCAATTGCATATGTGATTTTTATTGACATCTCAAAGTTTATTCAATCCAATTCATCTTAATTTTATTATACCAACATCAATATAATTCACTTGCAATTGATTTTTTAATACAATTCTATAAACCTTAAAATACTGAAATAATAATAATAATAATAAATAATTTACTAACAAAAGATTATGTGGCTCGCAATGATGCAATTGTCATGTAAAATGCAAATAAATTTCATGTATTTGACGGGAAAAAAATAAATTTCATGACATGATGCAATTCCAAATGCAATTCCAATGTGAATGCTCCAATTTGACCCTTCTTGTTGACAAACAGAAGGCGTTTATTTTTTCAAAATTGAATTTAGTTTTTTGTTTGGCAAATCTTAACAGAGATCTTTTTGGGTAAGAAACAGACTATAGGGGGCTTTAACCTTAGCTATTGACGAAACGAGGAGTTTGGACCCCAATACCAATAGAGTCAAACAACTGCTAATAACTTAGGCGAGCAATCAGGGTATCAAACAAGTGCGCTTCAATATGTAAAGAGTGGCCAAGAGAGGTCAAATAATCAGCAACAGAATTACTCTCACGATAGAATGCCTCAATTCAACCATTCAGCAACATAATTACTCTCACAATAGAATGCCTCAATCAGGGTACCAACATCAATACAATTCACTTGCAATTTCAATTGATTTTTTAATACAATTTTATAAACATTAAATGACACGACCCGATCCTTTTTAAAAACCAAACCACAACTCAAACCGACATCATTTAAGAATTTTTAACAAAAATCCCCAACACTTGGGCAAATTCTCAATCTCAAACACTTAAAACGACTTAACACAGAATCTCCAGTTTATACTACTAACCATGAAACAGAATAATTAACTAATCTAACTTGACTTCTCACGAGCTTTCCGATATCCCGTCGACGCTGGTACTGCTGCTCGCCTCGACCTGCTTCTTCTCGTGATCCACTTCTGCTAGACTATCCTCAACCTGGTGAGTGAGGAGGGGTCAGTCTCCTCAAATTGCTGCGTGACGTCTCACCGTCCAGCAGTGACCTGACCATTTATCGCGTCCAGTAGTGGCCCAACCGCCCGGGGGTTCATCTTACCATCAACCAACTATTACAATCATACATCCATACACTCATACATAGCACAACGCGTGCCTCCACCCTTACAGGCGGTGGGATGCCTCACACACATAATCGCGCTTACTTGAAAAATTAAATAACATAAGTGAATTAAAAAGGAATAAATTAAAAAACCTCAACGGAGATTTTACTCCCTTTACACTCACCTCTTTAGTCGCATCAACGTCTGCATTCTCACACTTAAGCACCGTGCGTTTTTCCTCTTTTGGCTCCTCCTCTATCGGTTCATCGTCTTCGTCTTCAACGACCCTAACAATTTGAGCTCCGTCGCCATTCTCTTCAAGGTCCCTCCTCGGGCCACAATTCAGTGGCCAACTACGAACTGCCAACACCCTGGGTCGTCTGGGAGGATAGGGTCGGGGCCTCTCCATCACTTTACCCCCGCCAGTTGCGATCACCGATGTCGAGTTCTCGGCCTTCCTTCCGCCTCTAATAGACGCGTCTCTTCCCCTCCTTCTAATCGGTGTCAACCTCTTCATCACGCGAAACTATGAAGTTCGATCGGCTGCTAACTTTCTCTCTTTCTTTCCCTCCTTAGCCGGATTATCCCAGGAAACCTATTAATAAGAGATTCATACTCTAAGACAACCTTTCTCGCTTTAAAAACCTTCTTTTTATCTACCCAAACACACTCTTATCAAATTCCCATCCTCAAAACTCACTCCAAAGGTCCCTTAACCCCCTTTAAAATTTTTTTAGAAATACTCCCTTCAAAACCAACTATTTTTCTTAATTATTTTTATCTTGGACGAATTTTCCACCTAACTTGAACCTTCTTAAAAATTAGGATAGTATTTTTACCATGTCAATCATGAGCCCTTATACCCTGAAAAATTATCAAATCCTTTAAAACCGCTCGGAAAGATTTTTATTTAATTAAAAACAATATTAGAACAATTTCTTAAAATAGAAATACATCTTCAAAAATTCAAAAATTAAATTAGAATCATCTCCTAGACGTCGCTCAATTTATAAAATTGTTAGTTCCAGTAAACAACCTTTAGAGGGGCTCAAAACAATTTAAAACATCCAAAAATACGTTTCTGAAAATTTCCAGCAGCTTTAGTGACCACCCAATATCTGTCACTAAAATCCTGTAACGCCTGTGCTAAAACCCAAAATTGCACCCTCACGAAAAAATCACCAAATCGATCGATCTAACTGAAAGGGATCGATTTCTCTTACCTCTAGAATGTGCCTAGGACTAGATTGGATGACCTGGGACGTTGATCTCCTCGACGATCGATGATCAAACCCTCAAACCTCGCCGCTAACAAAATACGAGCTTCGAATTAGACTATCGTTAAATCGAGCTTAGAAATCGCGAAGGGGTTCGAGATCCTTACCTAGAACGAAAGGGATGGTGTTGGGGTCGGGATAGGGGCCGGGGCACAGGGAGACGGCGGCTCCCTTCCTTCTTCTTTTTTTTTCCCTTCTACTCTTCTCCGCGGCGCTGGTGCTGCTCCTGCTTGGCGGAGGGATTATTTCCCTGGGCAAATATGTGGAGAGGGTCTGGGAAGGGTTTGGGAAATTAATTGCTGGTGCGGAATAAATTGAGGGGAAGGGTTTGGGAAATTAAATTGGGAGGGCCGACCCCCTAGGTTTAAATATATATTACTATTTTTTATATAATAATAATAATAGTTATTATTATTATTATTCCTAATCCGCGGTTGCAACTCTTAGTACGTAACCGTCAATCCAACCGGTCACGTATTAAAGTCGAACCTAAATCTAAAATACCGGGGTGTTACATTTCCCCCACCCTTAAGAAAAATTTCGTCCCCGAAATTTGCTCGGAACTCATCCTTCTATCAATACCCTTATTATACTTCCTTCCCACGATCATCTATTCTTACTATAACAACTTCGTTGGTACCTTTTGCTCAAATAAGTTCCCTTAGCTTGCAGCACTCGTGTAACCATAAGTGTCGCACTGCCCTTTTTACTTCCCAGCTTGATCCAAACATGGTGAAACAAAATGCCAATTCGGCTTGTCATGTTGATCCAATTCTCCTGGTAGTTGATGTTGAACCTAAATCCAAAATCGAAACATCACATTTCCCCCCTCCTTAAGAAAAATTTCGACCTCGAAATTTGTCCGTTGCGACGATTCCAAGTTTCACTTGTGATAATCTCTTTGCAATGAGTTGTACCTCCTTCTAGCCTTGATGTATTGATCTCATGACATCTTGTTAGGCTCCCTATGATATACTTAGTTCTTCCTTTGCTTGCTTAGGTGGCCCTAGTATTTTTCAAAGTCTAACTTTCAGCTGCTCCTTGGGGTTGTAGTCCTATGTTCAATTCTCCTGAACTCCACGACCCTTCCTTGCACCCTTTCCTCTCGATTATGGCGACATTTGCCATAACTCCTTGGCTCTACCAGTCGATGTACTAACTGCTTGGCTCCTTCCAGAACCGTATTCTGATCAGCTCACATCCCCATAGAATATGAGCTACCTTGACCCTCCTCTTCTCACTCATGAAGGGGTTTCACTAAACGATCCCTCTAGGAACCTGCTCCTTCTCCTTCCCAAGACGTATCATAACCCCATAGGGCATCCTAAAGTTATTTCCTTATCATGATTAGAGTATACTGGAGATTCTAAAATTTACGAAAGACTCTGACTCGTTTGGCCAAACTTTTAACTAACACTCCCTTTTTCCTTTCCTTTTAAAAACTGAAACCTTAAAAACGTAGATCGTCAGTCTAGTATTCCTTGAAGGCCAAGGAACAGAGGAGTGCAGGCTCTGATACCAAAATGACACGACCCGATCCTTTCTAAAAACCAAACCACAACTCAAACCGACATCATTTAAGAATTTTTAACAAAAAGCCCCAACACTTGGGCAAATTCTCAATCTCAAACACTTAAAACGACTTAACACAGAATCTCCAGTTTATACTACTAACCATGAAACATAATAATTAACTCATCTAACTTGACTTCTCACGAGCTTTCCGATATCCCGTCGACGCTGGTACTGCTGCTCGCCTCGCCCTGCTTCTTCTCGTGATCCACTACTACTAGACTATCCTCAACCTGGTGAGTGAGGAGGGGTCAGTCTCGTCGTTACTTCCTAAGGTCTTTGCCCTAGGCAAACTCCTTACTAAACACATTATTAGGGGAATGCCTTCCTTAGACGAAAGTCGTTCTCACTTTCATCCTTTAAACTTTACTATCAAACAGTCTATAAGAGATCTCTACTCCTATCTTATCTTTAGAATTCTGTTACTTATATTGTTAATCCATAGACACCAACACTAGGGACCACCGCGTTACGTCTCGCCGTCCGATGTCCCTACCCTAGTATGCCAACCGCGTTACGTCTCGCCGTCCGGTTGCATACCCAAACTCGGCAATGGCACTGCGTTATGTCTCGCCGTCCGGTCCATGCCCGATCAACTACTGCGTTACGTCTCGCCGTCCAGTAGTGACCCAAACATACTCGATCAACTGTTGTGTTACGTCTCGCCGTCCAGCAGTGACCTGACCATCTACCGCGTCCAGTAGTGGCCCAACCTCCCGGGGGTTCATCTTACCATCAACCAACTATTACAATCATACATCCATACATTCATACATAGCACAACGCGTGCCTCCACCCTTACAGGCGGTGGGATGCCTCACACACATAAGCGCGCTTACTTGAAAAATTAAATAACATAAGTGAATTAAAAAGGCATAAATTAAAAGACCTCGACGGAGATTTTACCCTCTTTACACTCACCTCTTTAGTCGCATCAACGTCTGCATTCTCACGCTCAAGCCCCACGCGTTTTTCCTCTTTTGGCTCCTCCTCTATCGGTTCATCGTCTTCCTCTTCAATGACCCTAACAATTTGAGCTCCGCCGCCATTCTCTTCAAGGTCCCTCCTCGGGCCACAATTCAGCGGCCAACTACGAACTGCCGACACCCCGGGTCGTCTGAGAGGATAGGGACGGGGCCTCTCCATCACTTTCCCCCGCTAGTTGCGATCACCGATGTCGAGTTCTCGGCCTTCCTTCCGCCTCTAATAGACGCGGCTCTTCCCCTCCTACTAATCGGTGTGAACCTCTTCATCACGCGAGACTATGAAGTTCGATCGGCTGCTAACTTTCTCGCCTTCTTTCCCTCCTTAGCCGGATTATCCCAGAAAACCTATTAATAAGAGATTCATACTCTAAGACAACCTTTCTCGATTTAAAAACCTTCTTTTTATCTACCCAAACACCCTCTACTCAAAGTCCCATCCTCAAAACTCACTCCAAAGGTACTTTAACCCCCTTTAAAATTTTTCTAGAAATACTCCCTTCAAAACCGACTATTTTTCTTAATTATTTTTATCTTGGACGAATTTTCCACCTAACTTGAACCTTCTTAAAAATTCGGATTAATATTTTTCCCATGTCAATCATGAGCCCCTATACCCTGGAAAATTATCAAACCCTTTAAAACCTCTCGGAAATATTTTTATTTAATTAAAAACAATATTAGAACAATTTATAAAAATAGAAATACATCTTCAAAAATTCACAAATTAAATTAAAATCATCTCCTAGACGTCGCCCAATTTATAAAATTGTTAGATCCAGAAAACAACCTTCAGAGCGGCTCGAAACAATTTAAAACATCCAAAAATACGTTTCTGAAAATTCCCAGCAGCTTTAGTGACTACCCAAAATCTGTCACTAAAATCCTGTAATGCCTGTTGCTAAAACCCAGAATTGCACCCTCACGAAAAAATCTCAAAATCGATCGATCTAACTCAAAGGGATCGAGTTCCCTTACCTCTAGAACGTGCTTAGGACTAGATTGGATGACCTGGGACGTTGATCTCCTTGATGATCGATGATCAAACCCTCAAACCTCGCCGCTAACAAAATACGAGTTTCGGATTAGACCATCGATAAATCGAGTTTAGAAATTGCGAAGGGGTTCGAGATCCTTAGCTAGAAGGAAAGGGATGGGGTCGGGATCGGGATCGGGCCGGGGCACAGGGAGACGGCGGCTCCCTTCCTTTTTTTTTTTTTCTTCTTCTCTCTTCTCCGCGGCGCGAGTGCTGCTGCTGCTTGGCGGCGGGATTATTTCCCTGGGCAAATATGTGGAGAGGATTTGGGAAATTAATTGCTGGGGCGGAATAAATTGAGGGAAAGGGTTTGGGAAATTAAATTGGTAGGGTCGCTCGGCCCCAAGGTTTAAATATATATTATTATCATTTTTTTATATAATAATATAATAATAGTTATTATTATTATTATTCCTAATCCGCGGTTGCAACTCTTAGTACGTAACCGTCAATCCAACCGGTCACGTATTAAAGTCGAACCTAAATCTAAAATACCGGAGTGTTACATTAAAATACTGAAATAATGATAATAATAATAATAATAATAAATAATTTACTAACAAAAGATGATGTGGCTTGCAAAGATGCAATTGTCATGTACAATGCAAATAAATGTCATGTATGTTACGGAAAAAATTAAAATTAAATGTCATTTCATGATGCAATTCCAAATGCAATTCCAATGTGAATGCTCCAATTTGACCCTTCTTGTTGACAAATAGAAGGCGTTTATATTCATCACCCTACATTTCTCTATATTTTTCTAAAACTAGCTTGGACCCTGCTTGTTGGCTAGAATATCTACGTTTATTTTTTTAAAATTGTATTTAGTTTTTTGTTTGGCAAATCTTAACAGAGATTTTTTGGGTAAGAAACAGAGTATAGGGGGCTCTAACCTTAGCTATTGATGAAACGAGGAGTTTGGACCCCAATACCAATATAGTCAAACAACAGCTAATAACTTAGGCGAGCAATCAGGGTATCAAGCAAGTGCGTCAATTCAACCATCACCCCCCCCCCTAATAATACCTCTCATTGTCGAGCTCCCTTGGTGTGACTCCTAATCAATAGTATTTAGAGCTACCTAGTCCCTAGGGGATCTCCGGCGGCTGATAAGACTTGTAACCCGTTGAAGACCCCATCCTGTAATATTTTGTGCCTTGCAAAACACAAGAGAAGATTGCTCCCGCATCAGCTCTGCTAGTCTAGCCAGGTGATCAACTGTTACAATCACCTTCTCAAAGAACCACTTGTTTCCCTTTTCCCACATCTTATAGCACAGGATGCAGAGGGAGAGGCATTAATAATAGTACTTCATCGGCTCTGCTCGTCACGCAAAGTAATCAACCATCGCAATCCCCTTCTCTAAGACCTTCTCATTTATGTTTTCCATGGTTTCTAGAACAGGATTGCAAAGGTAGAGGCATCAACAATAGTACTTTGGCTCCCATGTAGTACAACACCCATTTATGTTGACGTCTTCTTTATCTCGTATGGATAACTAAGATGTATTGTTTAGAGATGTGAATTCTATGATGTTTCAAGCATCTATTTTT